TATTATGAAATGGCTAAAAAATGTAATATAAAAATAGAAGGCATCATTTCTTCCATGCTGAAGCATGTAGCTTGGGAATTACTTTAAAAGCCTTATAAACATAAGAGCTGGGGGAATGAGTGCAAACCGCTGCGGATGGCAGTGAGAACATTGTGCTGCATAGGTGGAGATTGTGACTAGTTTCTTCCCTCACTAGCACCTCTGCATTTTTATTCTTACAAAAAAAAAAAGCAATAGATTAATTCCCATGCCAAAAGATTCAGGTAATGGATTCTCTGGCAGTTGTATAAAGGATAACAGATAATGCTAGATACATGTGAATTATGACTCTCTTGAGTATTAGAGGACTAAAAAAAAAAATGTAAATCCATGTCATGTTTAGGGATATGCTTTTTAATTCAACCTGCATTAAATATCATTTCCTCCTGTACAAGGCAGGGTTCTCGTGGATTAAGTGGTAAACGGTCATGTAATTCCCCACTGTAAAGACTTTGAGGTTATGAGTCATAGCTTGCTCATTTAGGTTCATGTTGAATGCTTCTTTTATTTCCCATCACAAAGTTCTTCATAATGTATTACTGATGCTCATCTGCTTTTACTAGTGAGCCATATATTGCCAATATCAATTTGGGATTTTTTTTGCCTGTGTCATACCATAACAGTACAGAGAACTAGCTTTAAATTGGATTTCAGTGATTATGTCATCAAAAACATAGGGGTTATGTAATTGTTTCATTGATATAAATTCCCCAGAGTTAAAGGCTAAGGAAGCTTTGTTTTACTTTTCATTAATAAATGCTGTAAACGTAAATAAAATATTGATATTAATATCAGTAATTGATTTATAGGAGCTTTTTTGACTACTTAATTTTCTTTTTAAAAAAATACCAATGCAAAGAAAATTCTGAAAAGCAGAACAAAAATATCTGGAGTCTTGTGGGAGTGTCACATCCAGAAATGAGAAAGTTTGTCCCCAGTAAAATGTTATCATTGCTACATTTGTGAAAATTTCCAGTTTAAACAAGTTGAAGACTTGAATGAGGGTTAGTCCTTGACTTAAAAATGTTCACAGCTTCAACAGTATTGGAGGGTTATTGCTGAGTTGGAATTTTGCTTTTTTTTTTAATGCATTATCAATGTTTAATTTGAACTTATCTTAAAACTTCGAGCGAAGTAATATAAGCCTAAGTTACGGGTCAGGTTTTTCAGTATAACTTTCAGTGATTTCTGCAGTCATCACAAAGTGCATCCTTATGCAGATTTGTTCTTTCTTTTGGGTGAGCTACTTTGAGCTCAAGTGTGCCCAGGGCAGCAAAACCATAGTGTGTGCCTTACCAGGTCTTTTGAGGATGCAGGGAGTTGTAAAGTAATTTGAGAAATGTCAGCGATTCCTACAGAGGAGTATCTTTGAGGACATATCCTGGGCTGCTAATATACTTATGAATAAGTCACATAAGAATATGTTTGTTGAGTACTGATTATTCTTTATATGTCTCAATATATTTAAGTTTCCTATAAACTTGTCATGTTTCCTGAACAACTCAGTCATTTCAACATCTTGGTTTCAGTGGTGCATTCCCCATTGCATTTTGAACAGGTAACTGCTAGTTTGCCTTATTAATTCTGTGGTTTTTTTTCTGCTTGGGTCTGGGACCACATTTAATATTGCTCAGCCCTGCTGAGCTCTGTTATCCAAATGAATTCTCTTCCCTTCTCCATCTGTCTTTGCTAAGAACGTTAGGAGTAGGGATGTTGTTGCAGATATTAGGCACAGCAGTCAACAAAACCCTCCCTGAAGCAGACAGCCCTCGTTCCCAGCACCTTCCCTGTGACAGAGCTTTTGCCTCATAGTGATTTCTGTTTGAATCCCAGACTGATGAAACCTGCATAAAAAACACCATCTTCACGGACTCTAAGAAATCCTTCTTCCAAGTATGCATTGAGATACACATTTTGAGAAGTCCATAATCCTCCTATCTGGGAGAAAGAATGATACTTTCAAACTCATCAGCTGACAGTGCTCATAGAAAATTTTCATAGGGAGATGGTGCTGATCAGAAACATCAGAAAGGTCAGTTTATACTCCTGGATACTGCTAAATATGACATGAAAGGACTTTAAGCTGAAGACAGAGCAGAAGAAAATAGTGAATCCCTAGCAGAGATACACAAAGAACGTATATATGCCTGTAATCGTGCAGACTAACTATTCTATATCATTCCTAAATTCATTAACACATAAAATAATATGAATGAAATTTTCCACTAACTGCGTCTGACTGAAATATCACAATGTGCCCCTTGACCTTTTTATAATCTCAAAGAACCCAAAAATAGGACATTTGGAAGTACGTTTCTAAAGCAGGCACGTTCCTTATTCTTGGGTGGCGGGTAGTAGTATCCTTAGATGCTCAGTTCTCTTTTAATTCTGCCACAGCCTTAGATCTTCCTTTGCCCTTTCTGTTTCATACAAAGAAAGAGATTCAGATGCTGTTTTTCCTTCCTGTGTAGTAAAAGATTTAAAAAAGAATCTCTCCCCTTCCTGTAATTCCTGTCCAGCAGAAGGAGAGAGGATCAGCTTCATGAGAGACTACTGCCTTTTGTACCCATATTTCGCTCTTGTGTATACATATGCCATCTCGAGGCTGCAAAGACTTCTTCGTGCTGACCTTTATCATTTTCTGTTTGCTTTTACAGAGTGTTTGTAAGAGTTCATCATAACTGTTTATAGCAATTCTAAGCTCTCTATTAAATAAAATTTCAGCAACTGACTGTTCTAGTTTCAAGGGTGCTTCTAAGTGGGGAGTCTGAATTCAATTGCTTTTGGATGTTCTTTATCAATTTTGATGCTGTTTTTCCAATGCATCCTTACTACACTAGATTAAAACAGGTCTATTTAAATTTTCTTGTCCAGTAAAATATTGAAACCCATATCAGTCAAACCATCATTGCAATGCTTGATATTCCACATGAACCAAATATTTTATTTTTGTGAGACTTCATGTTTAGCATTTGTATTCTCTAGTGGAACAGTTTCCGACAACAAAAATAATATTAAAAAATCTGAAAATTTATTCCAGCATATGTGATTTATCCCAGTCTTGGCTTATTTTTTTTTTTTTTTTCACAGTTTCTGAGATACTTCTTTTTTCTGAGATACAGAAGATTCAGTTCTAAAGTTTTAGGTATAACCCAACAAGTACTCAAAGTAAAATTTCATGTCAGTGTAAATGGTCATTCAGAGCAGCAAAGTGATTAGATATATGTTATGCAGGGCAGTCAGTAATGAAAAACAGTTTTATATTACCCCACCACACCTTGTCTTGTGGCTTCTCCATCTGCATAACGACTGTGACTGGGAAAGCTTCTTGAGCAGTTTTACTGCATCCAGCATCAGACTCTGGTATTATATAGTCTGCCTTTGCTGACAGCTCTGTACAGGTTATATGTTTTTGCCAGGTAGTTTATTGTATACTTTATATATACATATAAAAGACAGTAGCTAACTGTTTTTCTTGTCACTAGACCTGCAGACCATTTCTTCCAGCATGGTCTTCCATGCCAAGCTGATTCATGAGCACTAGAGCAGATGGAACCTTGTTTCAGAAGATCCTTTGTCTCCTGAGCTTCACATCTCACCAATAACCACATTTCTGAGAACTCCCTCCCTTCTCACCTGGATGAGACACAGAATGATTTTGAAGCCCCATTTCTTTAAGAATTCAGTCTTGAAAAATTAGCTCTTTTTGTACACATGCATGCATGTTGCAACTATAGCTTGTTGTCTAGTTAGAACATTTTTTCATACTTGATTTTTCATTCTTTATTTGGGCATCAGAAAGATTAAAGAGCAACTTATTTTTTGTATTCTTTTACTGTTCTCTCACAGGAATGAGAAGTTTGGAACATTGGGTCTGTGAAGACTTGTATAAATAGAAGCTCTGTGTCTTTTACTGCTTTTTTTTTCTTTCAATTAGTATTAACACATTTTTATTTTAATTATTCTTCTTGTTTTTAAAAATAAAATGGTTTGTTCCCTATGAGAGGAAAACTAACATTTCCTAATTTTCGTAAGTCTCTCATCACACCAGTAATGTTTATAAACACTTGAATCCTTCAGGACCAAAGAATGGAACTCAGTGTCAGTAAACAAATCACATTTACTGCTTCATAAGTGTTTATACAATGACAAATATCAATCCCCAGGGAATCGGATTGTAAAAAGGAGCAGTTGGTCTAAATTAGATTTCCATGTGAAATATAGCTGCTTCTTATGGATCTTGTGGGAACAGAATCTGGAAAGAAAATTTTGCACACTGGCGAAGGGGGTTTTTTTGGTTTTTTTTTTCAGCTGTGAACAGAATCATGTATTAAGTTGATTTCTGATTCTGTCATTAATCAGACAAAAGTTGGCAGTGTGGTCACACTTGGCAGTGTGAGAGGTTTATACTTCATGATCTGGTATGTAGATAATATGAATTATATTAAGTGTTTGGTGCATTCCTATATGTGGCTCAGCAAATTTATGCATTAAGTAATCCATCAGTTCAGTGAGCTTAAGCAAAACCAGAAGTTGTAATTTATCAGCTTTCACTTTCCCTGTTGTAAGAGCAAGAATTACTTCGTTTACTTTATGTGAGCCCTGAGTTTAAACTATGTTAATGAGAATTGGCACTGCAGATCTCTGGCAGCTTTAGAAATCAGCATTAACTTAAGTTGCCCATCTTCTTCAGTGACGTGAATGTATATTCAGAATACTAGATATTCATATACAATAGCTTTTTGTTTAAAGTAAGTATTTTCAGACTAGTTAGTCATTCAGGTGTAGGAATGTGGGAATGTCTGTGCGCAAGGAGCCTTTCTAATGCAGATGTGATTCTGCCATGTGTGTGAGCAGAATTTTCACTGAGACTCTTTGGATGGAAGTTAAAAAAAGAACTGCATGAATGTAGCAAATGTTATTACGTTGCCTGATTGTCCTTGTCCGTTTTGTTTTACAAGGTGAGCTCATGGGTTACCTGGCTGATCCTGACCGCAGGTTCTATGGAGGAGAAAAGAGAAGTCTTCTCATATTTAGTACATGTGGCAAAGTGCTGCTGGAATATGGGCAACTACAATGCTGTCATGGAATTTTTGGCAGGGCTAAGGTACTGGCAACTCTGTTGTTAAATGATGTTTCAGTGGCAGATTACATTGCAGCTTCTGTTAAGCAGACCTCTCTGAAGAACAATGAGCTAAATCAGTCACCCTGTCACATCCTAATGATCCTCTTGGAAAAAATAAACACACTAAAATATGTTTTCTGAAATGGAGACGCCATCATTCATCTTGGTACATACTAAATACCTTACATTAGGAAACAGAAACTTTTTAAACAGAAAATTTAAAATGAGAAAAGATGGAAAGGAGTTGTGGTTTAAATATCTGTAATAAACCAAAACTATGGTAGCTTGGGGTTGGAGTCTGCAGAATGTGAGATCATAGTATTGTTCTTTGTAGTTAGACTTAAATTGTAAAAACAATCAGCTAAACATCTTTCCTTAACCCTCGCCAATATACATGCATTGGCTGATATTGATGTCTCATTCTGTAATGATGTTACATAGCCAGGCATGCAGGGTCTCCAGGACAAGAGTAAGGGGATAAAGTCATTTTGTTGCTCGCTTTTCTGCAGAATTATAGGTATGTACGGGGCTACGTGAGGAGACAAGTCACGCCTTGGCCTAGACATGTAGTTCAGTAGGCAGTGAATTACACTGCGCAGCCAAGAGTTAGGATCAAGTTTCCCATATCTTAGCTCTCACCCTACTTGTATTTTCTGTTTGTGTAACAAAGCTTTAATGTGTTGGTATCATTTCTCTTTGTGGTTTCATGAGGATTCTCATTGAGCTATTTGTTTACATTTTTGGTATATAAAACACGTTTCAGCTGGTCACAGACACAGAGAATCTTGTTCAGCAGAATGCATCCACCGTCTCCTAGCCATACAAGTTGTGAAGGGAAATGCAAAACAAATTAAGAGCTTAATTTTATCCCTAATTCATCTGCGCTGCACAAGGGAGAAAGGAAAGGAAGGCTTGTGGAAGATTTATATTGTTTCTAGGGCAAGGGCAGAATGTACAGTTTGGGCTGTTTTGTTGTTAGCTTTTGTACAAAGCTTTGGGTATGTCAGGGGCTGGGTAGGCTGGCCTGGCCTTTGTGCAGACAGCAGCTAGAAGGTGAGACCCTTCCTGGCAGGACCATCCGTCCTTCTGCTGGGAGCTGCCAGAAAAAAATGCTGCTTGGATTAAAAAAAAAAAAAAAAAAAAAAAAAATCTGCAATAAAAACTCTGCAGATCTGTGCTGGTGCCTTAGAGTCGGAATGTGATCTTGACTCATACATATTCTTACTAAAGTCAAATTAAATGGGGAAAAAAATATATTTTTTTTAGTTTTTTACTTTTGCTAACTTCATGGGCTCTTCATAAAACAGAAGAGGGGATTGTAATAAACTATACATTTTGTCCTTATGACATTTCTTTAATCTTTTCAATTTCGTTTTAGGCCTTTATAATTTTAGGGCAATGGCAAGCTAAAAACATTAAGAAAGCCTGCCTGTTTTTCTTACGTAGCTGGGATTATTAAAACCTCAAATACTCTTCCAGACATATATAGATTGGAATTCTTGTTTCTTCTTTTTAGTTTTAATGTTTAATAATTCAAAGAGGAAAATGATCTGCTATCCAGAGGTTTTGTAAAAATGAGTTTGATTCATTTTGTTCATTTCTGAGTAACAGTCATAATATCCATTACTAGATATGCTGCAGGTGTTGAACTTCAGTAAAAATCATGCCTTTTTTTTTAATAGATGTTTGATCTCTATTTGCAATAGGTCAAGGAAAGTTTTAAAAATGTGGCAATTCATGGACCAATCTGATATTGAATCTATGAGAAGTCTGAAAGATGCCATGGCACAACATGAGTCATCATCCGAATATAGGAAGGTGGTCAATCGGGCACTCAATATTCCAGGCTGCAAAGTAGTTCCTTTCTGTGGGGTGTTTTTAAAAGAGCTTTGTGAAGTTCTGGATGGAGCATCAAGTCTCATCAGACTCTGTCCGCGATATAACTCCCAGGAGGAAACACTAGAGGTAAATGGTACTGATCTTCTAAGAAGCTGTGTTTGTATCTATATCCAATGGTAGTGCTTTTTTTTTAAATATATTATTTACTATTTTAAATGGCAATGCATCTAATTAAATTCCTTTAAATCAAACTATTATTCACAGTTCAATTAGATGTACATCAGTCTAATTCTCATAATAACTGTAGTAATAAAAATGACATAAAATTAATTTTTTTTTATGCAGAGATCAATTTAGGAGTGATTTCTTACAGAGACAAATGAAGTTTTGTACCAAAGTACCACACTTTGAAAGCTGTAAAATTCTTTCTATTGAATGTTATGATCGTCCACTTACCTCATTGGTAATAGGAAGGGTTTAAGTCCCTTAAAAACAGAATACAGAAGGTCAGTCATCAGACTATTATATGAAAAGAACAATTTCATCAAGCTTTATTGCTTTGATTTGAAAAAGAATGTCCCTGCTATCTCAAAAGATTAAGACTGTGACTTGAAATAAATCTGCAGGAATTACTGTTATTTGTGTTGCTAGATTTGTGCAGTGGTCTGGTCTATATTGTATGAAAAGTAGATGAAAAATCCCATTACATGGTAATGTGAAAGATATATTAAATATTCTTAATTCTTGTAAAATACTTCCCTAATAATAAGATGATGACATAATATTCTAATTCTTACTCTACTAATCTCTCAATTATTTTTAGTTTGTTTCAGATTACTGTGGACAAGATAACTTTTTGCAAAGAGTGGGCCAAGATGGTTTAAATAATGCAGAAAAAGAATCAACAGCAAACAATATATTTCAAACCATTCGGAGTTGTAATCGCAGTTTGGAATCTGAGGAGGGTGATGATATCAGTGAAGGGAGTGATTCAAGAAAGAACTCTTTGAAGGACAGAAACCGGTACCAGTAGGTTTCACATTTCATTGTTCTGTCTTTACCTGTTTTTTACCTTTTTCATTGTTCATTTTCCTCTCCCAAAAATCATTTATAGAAACAAGGTGCGACTTTAACATCTTTCCTTGTATTTATCCTCTTCTAATAGAAAACTTTACCCCCGCCAGTGTTATGCTGATACTCAAATGCTTGAAATCCTCTACATAGTTTTATTTTCCCTCATGATGTAATTACTTCCTTTCAGGAGGGTAAATCCCCTTCCTCTTACATGTAGAGCTTTAAAAATCCACAGTTATGATTACCATTTTGATCTGTGGTGCCAGGAATAGCACCAGGGCATATCTGTTATCAGAGCTCAGAACATTATATTCTGCATGGTAGGGCAGGTTCTGTTCTGTATAAAATAAAGGTTGTTTATTATTGTTTATGCATAGAGGAACAAGTCTTTTAAGGGCAAGTTCGTTCAAGTCTTTCAATTGCGTCCAAAAAGCATTTGCAAGTCATTAGACATTTAGAATTTCCAGGCTGGCTTGTACTATTTTGCCTCAATATCCACTTATTAGCACCCCATGAAAAAAATAACTGCTCTGTAATCACAGAATCACACAGAATCACAGAAGGGCTGAGGTTGGAAGGGACCTCTAGAGATCACCTAGTCCCACCCCCCTGCTCAATCAGGGTCACCTACAGCATATGGCACAGGGTCACATCCAAGCAGGTTTTGAAGATTTCCAGAGAAGGAGACGCCCCAACCTCCCTGGGCAGCCAGCCTGTTCCAGGGCTCTGTCACCTCCACAGTGAAGTCCATCCTCACGTGGGGATGGAACTTCCTGTGTTTTAATTTTTACCCATTGCCCCTTGTCCTGTCACTGGCCACAACTGAGAATAGTTTGGCCCCATCTTCTTTACATTCTCCCCTCATGTATTTATACATATTGATCAGGTCCCCTCTCAATCTTCTCTATTCTAGTAATCAATGAGATCTTTTGAAGATCCTTTATACGGTAAACTATCTACCATCGAGAAATATGGTAAATTCAAACTTTAATGCTCTGCAGGATGTTACAGAGTGTTGCACGGCAGTGAAATGCAGCCCTTAAAGACATTCCCAGGTCTGCTTTAAACTAAGCAACCTGGGCACAGCAGAGCATTGCTCCTTCGGAACAGAGCGTCGCCTGAGCGGTGTAGCTCTTGTGGGGGAAGGTGTCAATGTTCGGAGGCTTGATCCATGTTGAGTTCCTGGTTCAGGGCTGTAACTAGCCAAGCATTTAGGTGTGCACATACACAGATTATGCAAAGATAAAGCATTTTCTAAAGGGGTTAAAATGCAATTTCATTTGAGATCTTACAGCAGTAACAAAATATATTTCAGACCAGGCACAACTATGTGGTTCAGAGGTGAGGTGATGTAAAATGACACATCAGGTAGTGCAAAAAAGAGGATCCTTATTTCACTAGTAGAGTTATTGCATTGATATTGTGCAGCAGAAGTTCTGTGTATTGAGAAGCATCCAGCAGATTTTAGCAGGGTATTTCAGTATTTTATACATAAAATCTAATAAGTGACTGCCTGAGAAGGAACTACCATCTTCCTGTTCTAAATGCATTTATTTCATTAACCTGCAATTGTAAATTTCATTTCAAATAAATAATTGTTATTTCCCGAAAGAATGTTTTCTAATACAATTATTCACATCTGGCTTTAGTTGCTTCTGGACAGTGGAGCTGTAGATTATGCCAAGAAAGACAGTCCCACTTCTCTGTCCATTTATGTTGTCTCTTGACTTATTTCAGTTTAAATGCTTTCTTCCAGAAATTATTTTTCTTAATTAATATACTTCAAAACCATCTTGTAATTCACATCTCAAATGGAAAATGAACTAGAGAAATCAATGTTTCACTTGGATAAGTAAAGTACAATTTGAATATACAAGAATAATATGGGGAAAATGAAGTCTACCTGTTTAGGTTTTTATGAAATCACCTCTTAGTAAATTATTTATATTTTATATTGAAGTGTAGTAAGTTCCACTATATTTAAAGAACTAAATGCAAGAACAAAAAATTAATAGAACATTGAAATGAAAGCTTAAAATGTAAATGAGCAAAACTGGAAATAAATAAGTTTATCATTTATTTAATTTTTATTAACAATAAATCTGGGCAGTACATACTGATTATAATAGTATAGTGACTTATCAGAAATACCTCTGAAATTATTAATTCACCTGAAATCTCACAATTGCAAATTCTCCCTTCATGTCTTTCCTGTGTTCGTTTCTATTCCTAGAGAGCTCAGTGAGGCACAGAAGCAGTTCTAGCTATGTACTACCTCATAATTGTGTTGTTGTGGTTATAAAGGCAGAAAAATATATGGCACAGCATGCTTCTTATATCTCAGAACCAAAAAACAATTTTTTTTTGATTTGAATATGCATTTTAGAACAAGAACCCAGCAAAATTGGTTTCTTAAAAGAAAAGCTTCAATAAAAAAAGCTAATATTGGGTATAGCTTTTACTTTTTCAGTTGTAGTAGCAGATAAGCTTTGTATCACTCTGTGATTCTGTGATTACCTAATCTAATCATAGGGGAGTCACCTGCCTATTAGCCGGGATTTTCTGCATATGCCAAATACTTATCAATTTTTAATTTCTGTTAGAATTTTGTCTTGTCAGTTCTCAAGCAAAGTATAACAGAAGAAAAAAAAAGGTTTGACATACTGTTTTAAATGAATTGTTAATCAAATTACTTAGTAAGTTGTTTTAAGCTGTTGTATTGTTCGCTTAGCCTGAACGTATCTTCCATTTTAAATTTCCTAACTGCAGTAAATACCTTCTAGAGTAAGGTGGGGGGAAAAATCCTTTTCCATGAAATTTCTTGTCTAAAACTGTGATCTGTTTTAATGGTTCCTTTGTTCTTTCTTTTCATTTCATAGAATCATAGAATGCTTAAGGTTGGAAGGGGCCTCAGAGGTCATCTAGTCCAACCCCCCTGCTCACGCAGGGTCACCTAGAGCACGTGGCACAGGGCTGCGTCCAAGCAGGTTTTAAAGATCTCCAAAGAAGGAGACTCCACAACCTCTCTGGGCAGCCAGTTCCAGGGCATCTCAGTAGAGCATATGTAAAGAAAGCTTCCGATTCAAAGAAAGGCAGTCCCACTCCTCTCTCCATTTATGTCTTGACTTATTTCAATTTAATTGCTGTCTTCTAGACTTATAATTGGAGACCTTTCCGATTCCGAAAGTGATATATTTGAGCAGTCGAAAGAGTGGGACACTGCTTCAGCGGAAGAGCAGCAGAAAGCTTTCTGTCATGGGATAGAGCTCATTCCTTGGTATGTGTTATCAATCAGAGCTGATGTCCACCAGTTCCTGCTACAAGGGGCAACTGTCATTCATTATGACCAGGAGACACATCTCTCAGCACGTTGTTTTCTTCAACTTCAGCCAGACAATAGTACTTTGACTTGGACAAAACCCACAACAGTTTGCCCTGCAAATACTAAAGCAAAACTGAGTGTGGCGAGTAGTCCTCCGGAGCTTGGTAAATATCAATTTCTTGGCAATACTGGACTAAATGGATTGGTGGAAGGTTTTTTGGATTTGTTTTCAGCAAAAGCTGTATATAAGGGACACCCTGGCATTGATATGCACACTGTGTGTGTTCAGAATAAACTGTGTAATATGTCTCTTGAAGAAAATGGTATCACACTACTTTATGGACTTCAGACTACTGATAATAAGTTGTTGCACTTTGTTGCTCCGAAATATACTGCCAGAATGCTCTATGATGGATTGCTGGAATTGTCTAAAGCTGTAAGAAAAATGAGACGTTTTCCTGATCAAAGATTACAGTGGCTACGGAAACAGTATGTCAGCCTTTACCAGGTAAAAAGATTGTGATTGTGATTATCAATATCCATATTATCAATAAGATAATATTAATAATACTATAGTATGGAAAATAAAAAGTTCAAAGATAACAACAATCTAATGTTATGCAGTTAGTTCCTCCTACTAGTAGGCTAAAACGAAAACTGCATGCCAGACAACTAACTTTGTAACATGTTCTCATTCTCTGTGTAGTATTTTCAACATGTGGAAGATAAATTTTGTTATATTACAAAATTCTTCATGTATTTGGAATTTTGGAATGACCATTTTATTAAGCAGCAAGCAATGACTGTAAATAGGATGAAATAGTACTGAGAGAGTCCAAACAAAATAGCAAACAAAATATTTTACTAATATTAAGAAAACATCATTGAAGTAGTAATGATGTTCTTTCATAGAAAAAAATGTAATTGTTCTTTGGCACTTATTCTCCTTCTTTTGTTAATGTTATGAATTTTTGTAGGAGGATGGAAGGTTTGAAGGCCCAACCTTGGCTCAGGCTGTTGAACTGTTTGGAGGCAGGCGATGGAGTGCAAGAAACACAAGCACAGGAACCCTTACCAAAAGCACTGAGAAACCTAGTGTACAGAGAAACAACACTCTGGGAATAAGTACAGCCAAGAAAAAGAAGAAAGTACTCATGAGGGTAGAATATTTTGTTATTCGTGTTTTGTTATTTATCTGGCCGATTTGTTTCTTGCTTGTAGTTATTGTGTAGCTAAGTATGTATCCTGAACCAGGGAGAAGGTATTTGATGATAAATTTAAAATTGTTTATTGGAATTTTAGGGTTTTGGCTTAGTATTTTCAATTAGCTTTTTCTCTTTCTTTTCTCGTGCTTGGAGCATGAGTGCATAGAATCATAGAATCATTATGGGCGGAAAAGACTTTCAAGGTTATTGAGAGGACAGAATCTGATTGGGACCATTAGGTGCTACGTTAGTAGAAAAGTTAAATGTGTTAATAATAAAAATAGTGTTATGCAGAGTGATGTGTGGAGGTAGTGGTCTCTTCTTTCTTCCTTTCCATTTTTGTGTTCCCCAAAACATCACCAGAATTCTTCTGCCTCATTTTAGCATGAAATTTTATACAACATAGCTGACAGGAGCATTGCAAGTGTGTCTTCTTTTTTCTGGACTCAGCCACTTTCAGCAGTATCCAGAAGAAAAGTAGCATGCAGAACACATCAGCATTACACTATCTAAATACTCTACTCTGCAGGTAGAAAAAGTCCTAAAATGACGAGATCCAGCCTCTTTGGGGCTCCTGTGCACCAGTGGAATAGTGCACAATCAGCTGGACCACTTTAGAGAGGTGTGATCATTGTCTTCTGTGTGATATTACACTGAGGTAACAGTGTTTGCACACTTCATTACATATCATTTGTGATGCTTAATTTGTCTTTCTTCTACTTAGATGTTTCATTTTCTTACCAGTTTTACAGGGATCTGTTTCATGTAGAACAGTTAATTCATCTCATGGTTTTGTTCCAGACAGCGCTTAAGGATGAAAAAAAAAGTTGTATTTTCAGAATGTTTATTATGCTTACTTTTCTAGGGTGAAAGTGGAGAGGCCACTGACGATGAAATGGCAACTCGGAAGGCAAAAAGCTGTAAGGAGTATCGTAATAGAAGTGGTTCAGATCCTCAAGATATTGATGAGCAAGAAGAATCAGGTGACTTTCATTCCTGTTTTAGTAGCACTTTTTTCCTAGAAAAACCAAGTGCCTATATAGGCATTGTTTAGAATATACCTGTCTGATTATCTTGGGACAAATCTAGAATGTCTTTAGAGTTTTACTGAACATTAATGAATTATAGTGCAAGTCTCTTGGAAGAAAACATATTTATTGAGCCAGATACTATAATAGTGCTGCTAACGTGTGTTTTCTCCATAGATCAGAGTATTATTATTAATGCGTCTCCATCCAACACCTTGCCATCGAGAAGAGCTCACTCTCTGACAGCATCTGGATCTCCTAATATAGCAACTACAACATGTACACCAGCGAGACCAGTCTCCTCTCCTGTAATATGTTCAAGCAAGAGTCAGTCTAGGTATGGACAAAATCAGTGCCTTGATTTAAAAGGAAAAATGTTACTGTAACTTAATTATGATCAAACTTCTACAAAATTTGACAAAAATAGCACATTTTACTGGCCCATTAATAGACATCTAAAACATATTATAGAACAACATAGGACATTCAAGCTCAAATGCCATGAATCTGATGATACAAATTCTTACAAAGTGGCTGAACAGCATTCTTCAGTTACTAAGTCTGTTACAGAAGCAGATTGGAATGCTGTCAAAGAAAAAGGTGTAAATACAAAGTTTAATTCTTCATCCAAAGTGTAATTATAAATATCTTGCATATTTTGAAAAGTAAAACAGAAAAGTTGCAGATATGTCAAATAAAGTACTGAGGTGGCTCAGCACAAGTAGTTTCTGCTTGGGGGAATATTACCTTCTGCTAGTGTTTCTCGTGATGACTGCAGAATATCTGACTGAAGGGGCAGTTCTGAAACTTTCATCCCATAGTCTTTCCTCTTTGCCTTTAAAATTCATCATTATTCAGTCATTCACACAGTGCAAGGGGTCATGCTATGGTTGTGCAGTGACATAATGCACTAATGCCATTAATTCTATCAAGAAGAATAACAACAGTAATATAAAAATGATAATACGTCAGGGATGTGGATAGTACTTTATGACATACAAGAAGACAGTCTCAGCAGAGGTCTTCCAGTGCTTTTTAACATAGTAAGTGCTGTGATGTGGTTATAAATATGGATCTTGCAGTTGCAAGGAGAGCCAAGTGGTAAAAAGTGGAAGACAGTACTGCTGCTGGGAGAACATTATTTTTAGAGACATGTCTCATATAATTGTTTATATTGCCTACTTCACAGGTATAAAATGGTTAGATTTGACAGTGGGAATGAGTGATAGAGCCTCCTATGGATATCTACCACAGAAGGCTGGCTCCTTCTCAATACATGTTTCTGAAAGTTTTACAGTGTTCTTTACATTCAGATCTTTATTCAGAACCAGCAGGGTAGGATTTATCTCTGTAAGGCATCTGTGCTCTTTATTTATTTATTTATTTTAAAGGCCTGGAGTAATTTTCTGTTCAATGAAGAAATACTGCATTGCTTCCTCTGGAAATCACTTGTTTTGCAAATCTGCTTTTAGCTTTGTATGCCAAAATAGTTGTTGTTCTATAAATAAGATTAAGAGCCTGAACTGAGAACTCACATTCCCGGGAGAAATGCAGCTAATGTTCCTTAAATCCTCCCAATCCTGCGTTTCTGTACCAATCTCTGCATAGCTTAGCCTTGTGGGCCTCCCCAAGTTATGATGGGCTTTTCCTAAGATGGATGGCAAAACTGTCTGGAAACTGTGTAGTGTTGCTCAGTAGAGCCCCTTTATACTGGAAATTGTGGGAGGTCTCCCTGGCTGCAGCTTTGTGGGTGCTCTCATTTATTCTGAGGAAATCATGAGTTACATGCTTATCTATTACTCTGCCCAATTTTTGTGAGCCAATAAGGGCTTTGGAGCAGTGGTGAGAGCGTTGCTCTTGGTTTACATTCCTTGACGGGTCTGAATTGTGCTTGTAAGTCTTCTCAAACCCTAAAAGAAATAATTATATGCAGTACATCATTTGTAATCAGGGTGTCTAAGCTATCAGGAGCTCTCTGGTGGCTGTCTACTTCAGTGCAAGTCCTGTGATTGTGCACATTACCTGTATATTAATTCACTCCTTAGAGCTCTTTGGGAGTAAACCAGAATGGAATTTGGGTACAGTTCTGGGCATATAGCTCCAGGAACTGCTGCCCTCCCGCAGTATGGACACAGAGCGGACAAGGTTTCAGTCTTTGTGTGATATGTGTAATATGTCCTAGCTGCTTGGGAATTGAGCTGGTGCGCCTGTAGCGTGGACAGGCGTGGAAATAGAGGCAGCAGCGCATGTGAAATTAGAGATGGGGGCTCACTTGCAAAGACAGCTTCCTCTTGTATTATCTGTATTATCTTATATTATTATCTTATTGTATTATCTGATGAATACAGGGCTGAAGCATCTTTTTTTTGTTTTTTTTTTAATTTTAAATAACGCATATCAATACTGGTAGAAGAACTATAGAACATGTTACTTGTTAGAGACCAAATCCCAGGCAATGCTGAGCGTGCTCATCTGCTGCTGCTGGCGTAGTCTGGACTCACAGCTCTTTCTGGAGCCAAGAGACTTGCCTCATGACAGTTTATTTTTCTTGCCTCACAAAAATGTTAGGGGTGGTTTTAGCTAAAAAGTACGTGCAGCATGTCAGTACTTACCATAGTGATGCCAAACAAATGGAAAATTATCAGCCAAACTAGATGATATTTTTAAATACATTTTAAATTACATTTGGTTTTCAGTTGCATGTAACCATGCCAGGCCAGGAGTGATCAAGGAATCTGATTTAGTATGTTTATGTTAAAAAAGGAAAGTCTGCTTATAGCACAAAATTCAAAGGACTGAATGTCTTTAAGACAGTGGACAGGAAGCTGGTCCTGCTTTCCTGTCACAGCTGTTGAATCTGCTTGTACTGAAGCTGATGGCAGAATTCATAGATTAATGCATTTGCAGGGTGTATGGGATGTCAGGTTAGGTGACACATAGTAAAAAATGCTGTAACTTCTGCAATTAGTTGGTCTTGATACTTGCACTGGCTCTTTAGGTCCCTGTCTTTCCAGGATGTTGGTGCTGGTGGATGCTGTTCCTGGAGCACCTGAAGGTGATCATTGTTCTTTGGCCCCAGGAAGGGATTCTGGAGTTGGCTCATCTGGCTGTCATCATTGAAAAGCATAAAGCATTTGTTCTTCCAAGAAGTAGTTCAAGCCAGGGCCCAGCTATGCCTGCTAGCCGAAGTCCTGTAGTAGTCTAAAGATTTTGGAAATTGACTGAAATGGATAGGAATGTTCACAAACTCAGGGATCACATCTCAGATGAGGGATTAGTAACTGCACTGACAGCTCTACACTGTATTTAAAGACAAAGATTTCATATTCAGAGCACAAACCAGGCATGGTTTTGGACATCTGAATAATGGAATTTCTGAACAAAAAGGGCTTGTTTGGATCTAAGGGTCAATGTCTGAAAGAACAATAGAGTGCATTGCACTCCAGCCAGCCTCACACAGGGTACCAGGTGAAATAAAATCATTTGCACCAAACAACTAGTTATTTCTGTGATCATTTTCTTCATCTGCTCTCAAGAGATTCCAGACTGTGTTCCCTTCCTTCAGCTCAAGAAGCTGGAAGAAGGAAATCTCTAGAACATTGTTTCTTCAAGAAGGAGATAGCCTCCAGAGATTACTACAAAGCCTAAAAGAAGCACCAGCTTGTCTTGTCTTTGAGTTATCTGACTGTTATATTCCTGACTGTTTTGGGGAAGTATCTGGGAAAACCATGTGGCTGGGAAATAATGAGCGTTGAGTGCAAGGTAATCTGTATCCGATTAGCTTGTTATTTCCTTTCTTAAGCACTGAACTTTAAGTAGAGTTATGTATCTGCTTTAATTTCCCTCTTAGCAAGTCTTCAGTGATGTTCATAAACAAGACACATATTTTAAATCTTGCGCTACAGAAATGCTGACGTTTTTTGCTAAAAGAGAAAATGAGGTTTTAGTTTGTGCCATTTAAATCAGGCTCTTCTGCACAAGGAAGAGTTCTGAACAGTGTTTGCTCTGGCAAGGTTTACTGTTGTCTTGAGAGAAATGAAGAAGTACTATGGAAAAGAGAAAGTACAAACTGTCCTTATACGCACCAATTGGATAATACATACATTGACATACATACATTAAGCTGTTACTGTAGTGATGCATCGTATTTCAATATGTGTAAATCAAATATAACCAAACTTACAGCAGTTTCTTTCTGATTTAGCACATGGAGCAGCAGTAGCTGGCATGGCCGAGTTAAAGGGGGAATGAAGGGATTTCAGAACTTGATGGTTTCTGATAGTAACATGACATTTGTGGAGTTTGTAGAGCTCTTCAAATCTTTCAGGTAAAATCTGTGTTTATTTTGTATTGACCTCATTCACCAAAACTTATAAAAGAGCAGAAATTGAACTTGTCGACTGTTTTCACAGTGTTCGGAGCCGCAAGGATCTTAAAGACCTTTTTGATGTCTATGCGGTGCCATGCAATCGATCCGGTCTAGAGCCTACTCCACTTTATACTAATTTGAAGATAGATGAAAACAGCAGCGGATTCCAGCCTGATTTAGGTGTGTTAAAGAAGAAAATGCAACTATTACACTACTGAACAGTTTCAGTTGTTGACCTTAAATAAATATCTCAGTCAGTCTTACAAAGGACAATAAATTTTAAGTATATGGTTGCTGCCATATATCCATGGTAACTCAGAAAGTAGAAGATGTATATGTGTTTTGTATTAAATATATTTGTAATTGGAATAGGAGAGACGTAGTTTTTTTGCTGAGAGGCTGAGCAAAAGGCAGTATTTGGTTGGGTGGAAACTCAAGCATTTATCTGCTAGGACAGATAAAATAGTGAGCAAAAGTAGAGAAGAGAAAGGAAGAGACTGTGACCTGCAGTTGATTTGTTTTCTGCCTTGTAAAACTGCTTTATACAGAAAAATTATACATTAGTACTAAAATGCTCGAATATTTTTTACCTTTTTCTTTTTTTTTTTCAGATTTGCTGACTAGGAATGTTTCAGACCTTGGTTTGTTCATTAAGAGTAGGCAACAACTATCAGATAACCAGAGGCAAATATCTGATGCTATTGCTGCTGCCAGTATTGTAACTAACGGTACTGGAGTTGAAAGCACAACCCTGGGAGTATTTGGAGTGGGCATCCAGCAGCTAAATGACTTCTTAGTGAACTGCCAAGGAGAACACTGCACTTACGATGAAATCCTCAGTATTATCCAGGTCTGTAATGAAAACATTTTGAAATTCCTTATATTAGTACTCTTGTTCTTTCTGTTTTCCCTGCCAGTATTGTCTACCTGGAATTGGGGATGCTATAGGTGGTGTGTGGATATTTTCTTTCAGGCAAATGTTGCCTCTGCAGTTTGCTTGAAACTCATCCTGTAAGTGTGCCCAGCAGTTTTGTTTCAAGAGACCAAGTGTGTTACTTTGTAGTCTTTGTTTCTACTTCATAAATCTAAAATGTAATATTACGGGCTATAAACTTGTACAGATGTCCATAAGTATGCCCATAAAAAGAAAAAAAAAACAAGCTGAAGTGAATAAACAGTTTTATTGGCTATTAGTGCTTTGTATGGGAAGGGATATCAAGACTTTATTCAAACATTATTCAGGCCATTGCCTTGTTTTCTCCTCGTATGTGGACACCTTTGATAAGATTTACCCCTTGGAATGTCATCCTAAAAGAGCAGTATTTCCACATGTGTGTGTTTTGTTTCAAAAGTTTTATTCCAACCTTTAGTTTAAACATTCATTCTCAAAGAGAAATTTTCCAGGAACATATTATTGGGTGCAGTTCTGGGCTCCCCAGTGTAAAAGGGATGTGGAGCTTCTAGAGGGGGTCCAGCGGGGAGCAACAAAGATGATTAAGGTACTGGAACATCTATCTTATGAGGAAAGACTAAGCAAGCTGGGCGTATTTAGCCTGGAGAAGAGAAGATTGAGAGGGGATCTGATTAACATGTATAAATATCTGAAGGGTGAATGTAGGGAGGAAGGGACCAAACTCTTCTGAATGGTGGCCAGTGACAGGGCAAGGGGCAATGGGTGTAAGTTGAAATACAGGAAGTTCCATCTCCAGGTGAGGAGGAGCTTGAATAAAGCCCTAGAACTGGCTGCCCAGGGAGGTTGTGGAGTCTCCTTCATTGGAGATTTCCCAAACCTGCCTGGATGCCACCCTGTGCTCTGGTTGTCCCTGCTGTAGCAGGGGTTTGGACTATATGATCTTTAGAGGTCCCTTCCAACCTTAACCATTCTGTGATTCTGTAATCACCTTTAATTCAAGATAATGTTATGTTTGTTTAAGCGCAACATATAGAAGGGTCTGTGTTAACAGTCCATGGATGCTTCTTAATTTCTGCCTAAGTACTGACTCTGCTTTGATTAGGAGCTTGCATTAGATGACTTCCCAATGTTCCTTCCAGCCTCAATGACTCTAAAATTCTGAGCTTGCTAGTTTAATACACTTGATATCTAATTTGTAAAACAAGCACAAGCATATTGCAAACACTTACTACTTAAGCCATATAAATGCAGTCTGGATACAGACTGATTCCTTTGATGTAGAAGCTATAAAAATATGAAGAAGCCTTATATGTAAAAATTGTTGCATTGAAATCTGTTACATTTCTTTTTCGCTACAGAAATTTGAACCCAGTGTGAATATGTGCCAGCAAGGGCTCCTATCATTTGAAGGATTTGCAAGGTAATTAATCATGTTAATTTATGTATGTATATAAGGGTAGCATCAGTATATTGATGTTTGCATGACATTCACAAAATACTCAGCATAGTGTAAAATTTCCTCACATCTTCTCACCTCTAGATTTTTGATGGATAAAGACAATTTTGCGTCCAAAAATGACGAGTCACAAGAGAATGCTGAGGAATTGCAGTTTCCACTGTCCTATTATTACATTGAATCTTCACACAATACTTACCTTACTGGCCATCAGCTTAAAGGGGAATCCTCGGTAGAGCTCTACAGCCAGGTATATTAGATTGGATTGTTGTGTAGTTTTCAACATGAACTTGTTTGTTTAACTAGCAAACTAGAAACACGACCTTTTTGCTTTGAAAACCTAAATGTTCTAAGCCCGTGCTTGTAAAATATTGGAAAACATGATGTGTGGGAAAGCTGCCTGTGAGTGTAGTTGTGCTCAAATGCCTTTTCTAAGGCAAAAAAATGGGTTTAGTTTGAGATTCATAGCTTTTAGACACTAGTCAGTCTGACCCAATCTGCTATAATTAGACTTTCCCACAGGAAAGACTGATGTAATATTTTAGTTCATTCAGATGTCAAAAACACTCTTCAAACACTGTACAATGCACTGCAAAGAAATTTCTAGTAGAATAACTTCTAAAAACATTACTTCTAGGAATAATCTGCAGTTTTTTTAGACTTTATGCCCAGTTGGTGGTGAATAGGAAAAGAACAGTTTCTCCCTAGGGCTTGTGGTTCTGAGTTTGTTGGTGTATGTATATTTGTCTGTCTGTGTGTTTACCTAGAGAAAACATCAAACTTCCTGTGAGTGGTGCTTTCATTATTCACAATGTTAATGATTCACCACATGCATTAAATTGGGAAGGGTTCATGTGGAATCCCAGATGCTACTTCTCTTTGAGTTTTAAGACAGAGGGATGAGACTTGTTAGGAAAGGCTGAATAATGTAGTTGCAAAGGAGAAGAGCAGGAGAGCATGGTGTCAGAAAGCCTCTTCCTGGCCCTCAAGTATCCTTCCCAGAGGAAGGAGGGCCCTCTGCTTCCGCTCAGGGTGGCTGACTTTTGCAGATCTTCCTGCTTTCATGCCCTCTTCCATGGTTTTCTAGCAAGTACTGCCTCTAGTGATAAAGAATGGATGTAAATCCTGTTTAATGTCATTAAGATGGCCTGATACTTAGCTGTTGCAGCTATCATTATGTGGGGTGTTTGCTTGAAAGAGAAACCCACCCAAAATAGTATTGGCAAACAAACTGCAGCTGCCATGTGCAGAATCCATCATGGTAACAGCCAGGAAAATACTGTCATGTAGCTTTCCAGCTGCTCTTGTTGTAGATAGAAGTATAGAACTTATAGTTCTATATTTTTGTATTTTTATATTTCTGTCCCTGAGCACGTCAACCTAAGCAATAAGAACCACTCTGTGAATAGATTCCATGGGTCCTGAAGAACTATCATGAGTTTCTAAGCTTCATTTTACTTTCTATAAGGACGTATATGCCACCTTCTTAATTTCCCCATGGTTTCACTCTTTCTCTGTAATGCAGTTAGTTGGAGACTGTACCTTCCATGAGTTGTGTTTACTCTGTAGAGATTGCTCCTTCCATTAATTTTTCTGAAGCACTAGGCTGTGCAATTTAGCTGTGGAATATCTGTCTTCTGCTTTGATGTGAAACTGTGGCTTGCATGTGCTCACCCTCTGCACTTGTGTTGTAGGTTCTCTTACAAGGCTGTAGAAGTGTAGAATTAGACTGCTGGGATGGCGATGATGGGATGCCTATCATTTATCATGGGCACACGCTTACTACGAAGATCTCTTTTAAGGTATAGTGGTAATTGCATATGGAAATTAAAACTGAAAAAAAACCCAACATTTTTTCTCTAATGAAGAAAAAATTCTCCTAGAAAATTATGAATCCTAACAACGTAGGTCAATGACATTAAATAGACACTAGGCAGTACTTCATGTTCTCCTCATGAGAAAATGGAAAAAAACACCTCAATTATAAATACTATGCTTTTCAGATTAGATTTTTTAGCATATGTACTATAATTTTCTGTAGTTTTAGTTTCCACCTAAGTAAATACCTGTTTTCAGTTCTACTGTAAAAAGATGCTAGGCTAATTCATAGGTGTTCCACTTTTGGAAGCAAATTGTGGATTCTTTCTTCTCAGCGGAGAAAGCAAATGCATTTTCTCACTCTTCAATAAGTTAAATAAATGCTACTAAATAATCGTGTACTCTTGCAATAATCTTTCTTCCTCATAGGAGGTAGTCGAAGCTATTGATCGCAATGCCTTTATCACCTCTGACATGCCAGTTATCATCTCCATAGAAAACCACTGCTCTCTGCCTCAGCAACGCAAGATGGCTGACATCTTCAAGGTAGGCCACGCAGGATACCAAATGGTCCTAAGGACTTGTCTGGGGATTTTTCATAATAAATCACATGCTCTCAATATTTCAGAGTGTATTTGGAGATAAGCTGGTAACAAAGTTTTTATTTGAGAGTGACTTCTCTGATGATCCAATGCTTCCTTCACCTGGCCAATTGAGAAGAAAAATCCTGCTCAAAAACAAGAAGCTCAAAGCCCATCAAACACCAGTGGATATACTGAAACAAAAGGTAGAGTCCTTCCTTAACAGAAAGAACAATCATTAGAACTTTCGTTAGAAATCATTGACTTTTTTATTGCTGTTTCTGTATGTACAGCTGAATAATCTAGTGAATATTCATGCTTTGGTTTCAGTGGTTGCAAACTCCCTGTGGTTTGCAACTTTTGCAAATAAGTATAGAAGCCACACAGAAAGATACAGATACCTTCTCACAGAATTTTAGTGTATTTACTTCTGTAATATTTCATAACATTCTTATTGGCACCACATACCAGATGTGTTCAAAGTAAATGGGTCTTCACTCTCAAGCTGTTTTTAGGGCTTTTCCTAGTAGAAAATCATTGCCATTTATACCGTATGCTTGTATCAGAATAAGTGAATCACAATGGTAATAATAATATGTGGTCATTCTTCATCTTTTAACAAGGTTTAAACCACATAAAATAAAATACTCCAGGCTGGAAAAAGACACCTTTACTCTAAATAATGTCCAGTGGGGACATTTTTCCATCATCCATCAAGATTCTTATATTACTGTGTAGGATTCTATCAGTACAGTTATATTTAAGCTTGGTAATTTCATTTATCTCTTAGTATAGCTTTTCAGAACTTTCATGTTAATAAAGATGCAAGTAACAAAGAAGACTTGTGCTTTTTAAAAGTACTTATCAGTGATATAGTAAGTGATTTGGTCTTTTGCTCTAGGCTCATCAGCTGGCACATATGCAAGCACAGGCTAGCAATGGTGGTAGTGCTAGCACCCCCACATCCACCAATGAAGAGGAAGAAGACGAGGAGGATGAATATGACTACGACTATGAATCCCTCTCTGATGGTAACAATATGCATTTATTTATTGCAGTGCTGTTGCTAGACAACTGTCATAATAAGGCATTTAAATCTGATTCTAGTGCTTGATCAGAAATACTTTCATACTGTGAAAATAATTTGAACCAATAGAGGACTTTGTTAGTTTATCCCAGTATTAAATGTTCAAACTGCACAGTATATGGTAAATTACAGTGTTTACAAATATATTTTTTTTTCCTAAATTACGCAACAGTGATCATGCTCATTCATGTAGTGTACTCTGGGTATGTTCATCTGTATTCCATTTCTGAAGGAGTCCAGACACTTGAAAGTTCAAGACTGACCACAAGCTTAGTACTTGCCATCTCCCTGGCTACCATTAAATCAGTCGAACATGCAGATTTTCCAAAGCCTCCTTGGCTGCTCTTTAATCCCAGAGACCCCTGAAGACCCTATCTTAGCTACACTTTCAGCATAAGCTCTTCTCTTCCTGGGTAGAGTTGGAGAAGCTGCTCTGCCCTTGGTTCATGCAGGTAGATAGGGGTTGAAAGTGCACATCAGTATATAAATACATGAAAGGTAACACATCTAGGGCATTAAATTTAAACCACACTTATATGATTCCAAAGTAAAAACTGGCAGTAATAACTCAGAAAAGGTTGTAGAGTGATTGAAAGTTGTCAGAAATCATCAGTTTGCGGTGCAGTGGCAGCCAAAAAAAAACCCAGTAAAATACTGGGTATCCTTAGGAGCAGTATTGCCAACAAAAAGGTAATATGCAGCTGGTAATAAACTTAAGGGATTTGCTGCTACTGGAAATGATGGAGGCAGACAGTGTCAGAAGATTCCAGAAAGGACGAGACAAATTGAGGCACTACTTGAGGTTTATAAACTGACATTACAGGCAGCAAAGTACCCTTCAACATCGCTAATATACAGTGATAGTGAATGTTGGGGTGCTGTGAGGGCATGGACCAAACCTAGGGGCTTGGGTGTGCTCCCTAAATAGTGTCTGCTCTTTCACTGTCAAAAGCAGAACACTTGATTTAGATTGTTAGTCTGGCAAGTTGAGCATGTTCTCCAGGAATGAAATTGTTCACTTGTTGAACCTTCAAGTCTGATGGATACCTGTGCAAGTGTTAATCACTGCATTTAGCAAAGATGCAAGGCTTGACTATGCCCTGCAGCGCAGGACTTCTTTTCAGTCTCCCCTTATTTACATTATTTGTTACTGTGCTAGCATTTAAAAAGACATCACAAAATGCACAGCTGTGCACTTCAGCACATGAAATTGCTTACAGCACAGTATTATTTAAGCTACTAAGAAAATTTACGGGTGCGGTTGTGGGGCCTTTTTCAGTGGCATTTTGCTAGAGTTTGCAAGAGCAATATTTTGAGCTAACACAGAAAATAATATTTGAGCAATGTTGTAATGAAGAGAAAGTCTCAAAAATCCAAAGCCAGCAGTGAATATTCACAACTTGCAATATATGAAGGAACCTGTGGCATGATTTGCTGCTTTATTACAATGAGAATTTCTTTGGAATTTTTAATTACTTTAATATTTTGTCAAATCTAAATAATCTAATTAATAGTCTTAATTAACTAATCTAAATAATAGTATGTGAACTTTCTAAAGATTTTCAGATTTATTTTCCTTACTGATACATTAAGTTTGCATTAGGCTAATAGTTTTAAAGCTGACACTTTATTTTCATTTCTCTGTCTGTAAATCTTAATTTCCTTTACTCTTATTCCCTCTTTGACTCCGTTTCCCTGTAGCTGATGTCCTTAATGCTTCTCCTGCTGCTAACAGCCAGGAAGGTAAAGGCCGTTTGGTTGAGCATTTTAACTGCATGAAATCATCACTGCATTTCCAGCCCGTTAAAAGTGCCAGTGTGAATTTGTGTTTTCTACTTCATACTAAAAATATGTTCAGGTATTGGGTATTTTATTTGGCATCATTAACTGGTCTGGAGCCGTTGGAAGATTGCATGTGCAACACTGGTTATGCATAAAAAGAATATGGTCAAAGCATCAGGAATGAATAAAAACCATTCCTTTTGTGACAAGATAGTTTTAAAATTTTGGTCCCAAAGACCAATCAGTAATATACTCCAATAAGTATACTGAAGTAGATCTTTGAAGTAGAATTTCTCTAAAAAATAAAAAATGTTCATGTGTTCAGGTACACATAAGGAACGTAAGTGAACATGAGAAGGGAATGAGAACAACCCAAAAAGCCATTTGATATTTCAAAATGTGCAATTATTTGTTGTTCATGGATGTCGCTTAGTTATTTTCAGATGGCAAGCTTGAAGAAATTTTTAATTTATTAAATGATTTTGTTTTAAGCATCTTGTGAGCACAAAAGGATGGACTTTCAAAAAAGTGCAACACATTAACCAAAGCCTGGCCTTAACTTTTTAAGTAGCAAGTTGCTATGGAAGCAGAATGCTTTGACCAGTAAATGCATTATTTTGCCATCTGGTTATTCAGATAATAGTCACAGCATTATATCCAAATATTGTTAACTGAAATCAGATTTACAGTTGAAAATCTTTGGCTTTATGCTTATTCAAGACCCATTGATTTTTAGATAACATTCTTGAAGACCGACCTGAGAGTAAATTATCGAGTGATAAGCTGCAGTTTGAATATAACGAAGAGACTGCCAAAAGAATAAAGAAAGCTGATTGTGCTACTTACAGTAATAAAGGAAAGGTAGTACTGCTTTTTTCCTTCTTCCTTCTCTGCCACACTTTTGTATGCAACAAGCTTCAAAAGCACTTAGGTTGCTTAGGTAACCAAGACATCAGATGCCAAATGCACTTTAAGGAAGGCAAATATTCGAAAGCATGAAAACACACCAAAGAAAATGGATTATGTAGAAAAACCATTCAACATACTGTTCAAGGAAGGTCCTCAGAGGTTATTTTAGGTCCAGGTGATGTGGATGAAAATTTATATTATAGTCATCCTCACTGGAAAACTTTTTTGTAGCTAAATCCTGAAAATTATTTATATATTTAATTCCTGTTGACATCAATGAACTTCATTTATCCAGTAACTGAAGATTTCATGAGACTCCTCAGTATTTCTGTGTGTCTGTATAACTTAAAATATGGAACCATGGTATCGCTAGCTGTCAGACAATCAACCCCCTGCATTATTGCTTAGTAAACTGTAGTTTCTCCTGAACACACATCCTTTTTGTCTAAATTTTTGTAAAATGGATTATGATGGAGATCTTAGAATATTATCCCCGTATCAGTGACAGGTTAATGTATAAACCTGCACAAAAGAGATCTGTTAGGTAAAGACAGTAAACAATGAGATAAAGGATCTTAAGGGCATTAGTACCATACGCATACCTTTGTATGCGATAATTTTTTTTTTTGAATTATCATTTAGGTTTATGATATGGAACTGGGTGAAGAATTCTATCTTCCGCAGAATAAGAAGGAAAGCAGACAGATAGCGCCAGAGCTATCAGACCTGGTCATTTACTGTCAAGCTGTCAAGTTCCCAGGTAGGTACACTTCCCTGTTCTAACAAGTTTTGAACGTTCTAATTCTTTAGGCTATTATGTTTGTGTCTTGAATTCTTTAGTACTTTTCAAGCTTTTTCAAATGTAAGTAGTTAACTTTTTAAGGATCTGATAGTACATCAGTCTATATAATAGCTCCTGGCTGAGAAAGAATGTGCATAAATCCATTATGTGGAAATATATTTTGTCTTAGATAAAGGCTTGCAAAATTGAAATTTCCCAGTTTTTATAACTTCGAGAATAGCTGTCTTAGGGCTGTGTGGGTGACAGATGAGAAAAAGCTGTGTTTTAAAAGCTGTGAATTTCCATGCAGGGAGATAATGAATGGAGAATGGAATAAAACCTTGCAGAAAGAGTTTGTCGGATTTAAGCGAGCACGGTTTGGCGTATTTCACTTTGCCTGTGCTCCCCATATTCCATCCTTTCCTAAATGGATAGGAGGGAGCCACGCTGGGGCTGCACAGGCACACAGCACTTGTGCACGGGGTTCAGGAAGTAGGAGGGCGTTTCGTTTGTGCGGTGGGAAGAATCACGTTGGCAGAAGAGAAGGAGAGGCAGGAACGGAAGAGGAGATCACTGATAGTTACTTGTTCAGTACTGAAACATGAGGATGAGTAGCTTTTGGCTCAAATAGTGTACATGAATTCTTTTAAATTGAGAATACATTTTTTATTGGTGTGTTTAATGTTTTAAATGAAAAATCAGCTTTTTAATGGAATGGTTCTTGGTGGAAATAGCAGCAGTTCTGGCAATTCATGATCTTACGCAAACAGAACTATAGTCAGATCAGAGAAGCTAACCAAACATAAAATAGAGTCAAATATGCAAGATAAACATGCTGAAAAATGGAAAGACATACTTTCCTAATCTTTCCTAATTTAAGAATTGTAGGTGTTACATGTAACAATAATAACTTCTAAAAAATTCAAATTTGATACTCTCTTTTTAATAAAATTGCAATGTGATATCTTTCAAATAAAATATTTTCTTTTAAAGAATGTTATTAAAGATTAAACAGAGATATCTCAAGTTGTTCCAAACATTTTAACACACAAAGAAGTTCTGGTGTTCTAAAATAACTTCAAATTATTTCAAGTTTTTAATGTAAGTTTTAAGTTCAATTAGAAAAAAAATACTTTCTTCCCATATCAGATTTCTTCCTCTCGCTTTAATTAGAACATGAATGGAACCACTAAGAAGATGAATTCCTTTCAGAACTGAACACATGAAGCTATAGAAATTAGCTTTCCAACAGATTTGCATAACTGTCCTCTTTTGAGACAAATACTGTCTTTTCTGCAGTGGTTGTAGATACGCAGGCTCCCTGTGCTACTGATGTGATCTCTGCTCATCCGGAGGGCACAAGCTCAGAGCAGGCCTGTCTTCCACTGCTGTGCCCCACTATTGTCAATTAATAATGAGAATGAGGCCAGAGGACCCATGGCTACATAGATCCATTGAGCAGCTAAGGTTCTCAATCCTTACTCTCCTTACCTGACTTCAGTTTCAGTCTGTTGGACATCGTTGTGCCATTGTCTGAGGTAAAGACGACCTGTTCTTTCGGGTGCCCAAAGATCTGAGCAATGGAGCACCCCTGAGCATGATACTGCTGTGACTCACTTGTACCAATCTTCTAGAAATCAAAGTGGACATAGAAATGGCACCCTGCAGGTGTGCCAGCAGATAGTTGTTGAGGTCTGCAACCCCTCTGGCTGTTGGCTGTTTCCTAGGCACACACAGTGAGAAGTCTTAACCTGACCCCTTCTCATGGTTAGACTAGGAAGGGCAGGGAGTTTTGTCATCCCCTGGATTAAAAGTCTGAAAGCAGGAAAACTGCCTTTAATTTTAAACTGCTGGGTTGTATCTAGTCAGAAAGAGTAGTAAAATCTGTAATCCGAAGGATAAAGTATATATAACCCCCCTATATACAGGGGTTGTAGGAAGAGAGGAAACAAGACTTGTTCTGTCTTTGCGGCAGTGAGACAGGGTCTAAGTTGCTCCTGCTTTGACCAAGAACCAGGTGACTTCTGTGTCTCTTCCAGCTTCCATTATTTTCTGAGTTTATGATTCTGTGATTAGGTGATACTGTAGTTTGGAGTCAAGTTTGAACCGGAGTGGAAAATGGAGCTTCCCTCTGAGGAGAGGCCTGTCCCTTGCCAAGCATGCAAGGCCTTTGGGAAGCCGAGGGAAAAGGCCCTGCTTGCCTGCAGCCGGGGCCTGCAGCTCAGTTACCTTCATGTTTTGCACTGCACTGCCCAGCGACTTATGAGCTTAGTTTGTTGCCTCAGCGACTGTCTCCACAACAGGATTTTGAAATGTGGGTCTTGCTTGCCAAATGCATTTGATCCATTGAAAACTGATATTAAATAGCTCTGGAAGCACATAGTCCAGAACTGCTCATTTTCTAGTCACTTCATATTCCTTGATCTCAACCTCTATCATCTTTTGCTCTTTATGAGTCTGCTTTGGTCCCGAGAGATACTAGGTCTCCAATCCTGAAAACATGTATGTATACAGGAATTTTTACTAACCCAGGGAGTCCTACTGAAACTATAATCATAACTTCACCAAGTGCATGTAGACACGCTATAAAGACTGAGACCTGAAGATTTACATCTGTGGACTGATTTCAGTAGAACAGAATTTATCATCTCCTCTTATGATTTACAGTTGTACTTAAAATAGGGTATTAGCTCCAGAGCTGTCTGGGGGCGGGTGAGGCCGGTGGGAGCAGGGGGATGGCACCGGGTGAAGCCGCTGCCCGGTGCCGGGGCAGACCCGGGAGCGCCTGCTCTGTCCCGGGGCTCTGCGGCGTTCCTCACCGCGCTCCGCTGTGGACCAGGGTGGCTGCTGGGTTCTGACTTGGCTTTTATTTTCATCAGCTACATGGTCTGTTGAAGTAACGGGAAGGAGGATGACCTTTAAAAGAATGAAATCTGTTTACTTCACTGGGATTTAGATCATGATAGTAATGATTATTCTACTGAAATGTGTATGTTTGAATAATAGCTATAATAGAGCTTTCCAACCCCACTTTTGTGTACATATTGGCCACTAAGTGTCTAATGGATTTTGCACACTATTTCCCCTCACTGAAATAAAAGTTCTAAACAGAAGGAGGTAGCTCAGAAAAGACTAGGTTAAGTTAGAGGTTAAACAGGTATGTTTAACCTGGGGAGATTTCCTTTCTTATATATTCAAATTGTATTTTGCATTTAGTTAATTATGTGGTTACCGTATTTGATCAGTCAAATCCAGTGATATTGAATAGTGCACAGTTTTATTGTCTGCGTAGAATGGATTTTTAAAACAATTTTAAAGGTGAATGTATTGGTACTGTTTCTGCAAAGTTTTCTAGTGTTTGTTAGGACCTTCTAGTGGTTTGAGATAGAGCTGCAGCCTTCCTCAAGCCAAAAATTAAAATAGAGAAGAGTTACATCACGCAGATTTCTCTGTCTTGCTTTCATGTATGTTTTTAGTACATTATATGTTACATTTTACATGCTATATAAACACATTATTGCATATATGACATTGTATATGTTTGTATATCTGTATATATGCATGAACGCGTGTATTTATATATAAGAGTATGTATGTGTGTAAGGTTGTTGGACTTGTATTATGAAGTACAGAATTTAGCCTGCATACTATATAGCGGGAAAATTCATGTCTGAGAAAATAATGTAAAAAATTATGGAAAATGTCATGCCCTCTTGGTCATGTTTTTTGGCTCATTTATCTGACATTTATGGGAACAGGCTTGTCAACTCTAAACCCATCTGGCTCCAGCAGAGGAAAGGAAAGGAAAAGCAGGAAGTCCATTTTTGGCAACAATCCTGGCCGACTAAGCCCTGGGGAGCCAGCAACTCTTGCCAAAGCATCTGGAAAAGGTAAAGTTTGCATCTTCTTTCCCCAGTCACGTGGAGTGACTCTGTAACCCAACCAGGCCATGCACCAGGCCACGTTGTTAAAGATCAAATACTTTATAATGTACAAGCTGTTGAACTTTGGATTGTTTTTTCATTAGCAGGGCAGCTATTACAGTAACACTAAAGAATTAACTGTACTGGAATGTTAGAATAGAATTAATTGATCAGGATGATAAAGATCCTGAATCATAAATGATTAAAAAATAAAATACATTTTAAATGATGCATATTAGAGGTTATATCTTTAAAGACATGAATTAATACTTTTTTTTTTAAAAAAAAAAAAAAACAGTTTCTGCACTGGAAATATTTTGGTAGTATTGCTGATCAGTCTTCTAGCTAATCTCTATTACAGTAGTGTTGTTAAGGGAAGCCAGTAAATGCTTCTGTATGAAAATGTTTTTAACACATCTGCTTACAGTAAAATTTAAATATTTAAGCATAGTTTTATTTCACTAACTGTTCCTACTGTATAAGAAGAAACGGGACACATTTTGAGCAATTTCACTTTCCAGGATCCCCAGTTTGCCAAAGTGTAAACATGTACTTCACTGGAGAACTTGGAATTCTTGGAGTCTTCAGACTTGCAGCTGTAACTTGCAGATACTGTTTATTTTTCCAGGCCCGTTTGATGTGATGCGGCAGACCTGGGAAGATCCTTGTTCTTTTAACTCGCCAGCCTCCCTGAGCGCCATCATTAGGACGCCCAAGTGCTACCACATCTCCTCGCTGAACGAGAACGCGGCCAAGCGCCTGTGCAGGCGCTACTCGCAGAAGCTCATCCAGCACACGACGTGCCAGCTGCTGCGCACGTACCCCGCGGCCACGCGCATCGACTCGTCCAATCCCCAGCCCCTCATCTTCTGGCTCCACGGGGTTCAGCTCGTGGCCCTGAACTACCAGACAGACGGTATGGGGTTGAGCGCTGCACGTTCTGGCACATCTGTATGCGATACACGTCCTTCTTAAATTCTGAATTGGTATCTGACCGTTTCCATTACCTGCTGTCTATTCTAAGGGAACTTACCTGCCTAGGTGCTGCAGCATGAGCCTGTTCACACAATTACAATCTATAATCCTTAAGAATTGGGATCCCAGAATTCAGGAGTTTATGGCAGCAAATCTGATAGCAGAAACCTACCAGGATAGCAGCACCTCCCTTTTTTTTTATTACTGTGGAAAGGGTTTTTTTCCCCCCACAATTTCAGTGGCCATTATCTATTTCTGCTAATTTTGAGAATTAAAGATTAATTAATAAGGATCGAGAATTAAGAATTAATAAAAGAATACTGAACCATTTTTATTTAGAGTTGCCTTCTTGGATGCTGCTTTAGTGTCAGGGAATTTCTGTGCCATGTTCTATCCCATTCTCTCCCCCTTTTGGAAATGAAAGGATGTGTTAGGTCTGTAAAGCTGTTACAGCTGGTGCTTTTTCATTCTGCAGTTTGGGACAATTATCTAGATACTTGTCAGGGTGTAGGCAGTCCTACAGTTGGATAAAAATATCAGAGACAAGGATAGAAAAGAATGAACTGTTCTTACAGTTTTATGGTTTTGGATAGATGAAATGTGTAAATCTAGTTCTAAAAACAGCTAGCTCTACCAACCAAATATAAATGTGTAGTACACAATTGAAACTCAAAGAGGCTGCTAAAAGCACGGGTTTGCCTTCCTGGTAGGAGTTTTTCCCATTGTGTTGCTGCTGTTGGTCAGTCTGGGCTGTTTTGCTTTCACAGATCTTCCCCTGCAGCTGAACGCTGCCATGTTTGAAGCCAATGGTGGCTGCGGATACGTTTTGAAACCTCCTGTTCTGTGGGATAAAAGTTGTTCAATGCACCAGAAATTTTGTCCTTTAGAAAGAGACCTGGATAACAAGGAACCAGCTATATACTCCCTAACAGTAAGTACATTAAAATGGTAGTTCAAACAGCCAGATAGATAGGAATAAACAGGTAACCACAGTCTTAAACCAGAATTAGCCGTGCTTCAATACGGAAAGACTGTACCTGTAATTGTTGTTGGCACTTGTGAAGATCAGCGTAGCTACAAGAAATTGTACGGGGAAGGAGAGAATGTTAATCTTTGTTTATTTGGTGTTTGGTACTCATACTTCTATTGTTTCCTGCACAATAATTGACAGAACCCAGTCCTGAAACATTTTTAGTGGGCTCAACAGCAAAACATTACAGGTGTCATCAAATATTTATCATGTTTATGAAACAAAAAGCTGTAGTGAATATTGAAATATATGTGATATATTAAAAAAAAAAAGCCATATAATAGATTATTTATGGAGTTATGGTAAAAATTTGGATTCTAAGAAGCTAATGCTTCCAGGAAACGCTTCCGAAAATTGAGATCCCTAAGAGTTGACATTTCCTGAGTGGTGGTAATCGCAGCCCTTGTTCTTTTGTGCCAGAGGTCAGTGTCAGAGTAACTGAGAAGAAAATTTGATCCTTTTGCCTCCATTACCAGTACATTCTTTCTGGATTAACTTTCAGATGCCTCGCGTGGCCACAGTCATGATATACGGTGAACTTCTTTTTTCAGAGGACAGACACCATAGCAACTGCGTGTGGTTTAGGCAGTTCTGCTTCTGAAGTTACTGCCCTGGCAATTACAAAAGTAGAGGAGTATTGTAATTAAATCAGTGTGCCAACAAACAGTGCAAGCAGTGTGATAAATAATATTCAGCTAAGGACTGGGACAGAAGAGGAAATTGCTGCACTAATTATTTTCTCCGTGTGCTTCTTGGCTTCAGATTGTGTCGGGCCAGAATGTCTGTCCCAGCAACAGCACAGGAAGCCCTTGCATCGAAATCGATGTCCTGGGGATGCCGCTCGACAGCTGCCACTTCCGCACGAAGCCTATTCATCGCAACACCCTCAACCCCATGTGGAACGAGCAGTTTCTTTTCCGGGTTCACTTTGAAGATTTGGTCTTTCTTCGATTTGCAGTTGTTGAAAATAACAGCTCAGCTGTAACAGCTCAAAGAATCATTCCCCTCAAGGCTCTAAAACGAGGTAAAAAAAGTTTGTAGTGCCATTGTGTGGCCGAATGGTCCAGGAGAGGCCTGGCCGGCCGGGTCCTTCCTGGGCTAGTGGGCACTGGTACCGCTGCAGCGTTTGGTGCTTTGTGCTGTAGTGCACACGGGAGTGTACACGCAGCGTAATCACAGTGCTTTGCTGCTACAGGCATAGCAAAGGCTTTAGATACCTCAGTTGTACATCTCTGAATCAGGTGTCCTAGGATGTTTCACGTACTCATTAAAAGGTTTTTTTTTTTTTTTTCTTTCTCCCCCTTTTTTTTTTTTCCTCTCTCTGACTAGGCTATAGACATGTCCAACTCCATAACCTGCACAATGAAGCTTTAGAAATTTCAAGTTTGTTCATAAACAGTCGGAGAATGGAAGAAAGTCCATCTGGAAACACTCCGCCTGCATCTGTGGTAATTCAGTTGCATTTCTGAATGCTGCGTATTTTTGTCTCAATTAGTAGAACAGTGTGAAGAGTTTTAAGATCAATTGTTCAAAGAAATTACGTCCAAAGCCCTGCATATTTCAGAAGCATCTTGAGGCCCCAATCCTTTGGGTTATCCTTCCTAGCACAACAGAGCATTCATGCTGCAGGATCCATGCATTCCTCTATGCACGGATCATAAACATTGCATCTGAGTCACACAAGAGATGCAAATTAAAGAAATCAAGTTTTTGTTGGAATAGTGAGAATACAGTAGAATTCCATGAGAAAAGATGGAGTCCATACTTCCATACACATTTTATACATTATACGCATAGATGTATGTACATATATACATATGCATATATATATATATATATACACACACATATATATATGAGCCCTGTGTTAGTTGGTTATATGTTCTCTGTCCAGCTCCTATAGCTCGTATGTGCAGTTTCTTTTAATGTAGCCTCTGATTACTGCGCCTGTGGGTACCAGTACCATGATGCCCGTTGTCTCAACAGCTGTTCAGCCCAGCCGACCGGAGAGCTGCTGCCGCGCACAAAGTGACTGTTCACGGGTTCCCAGGCCCTGAGCCCTTCACTGTTTTCAGTGTAAGTGGGGGGACCACAGCAGCGCAGCTGCTACACCAGGTAAGGTGCCCGCTGCATCGCAGCCCGACTGCAAGAGGACACTGGGCTCCCTGCAGTGACAAAGGCAGAATCATTGTAGCTTGTTCATCACAGCAAGGGGTTGTCTGAGCAGTGTGTCACTGTGCAGTGTAACTGCAGAGTATCAGAGAGGTCTCCCAAATCTTGACTTCTGATAATGGGTTTTTAATCTTACATCATATCTCCCAGTAGTATTCTAATATTTGGGTATGTGCATATGAGAAATCTTTCTGACTGATGGAGTCAGCAGGCTGTCCTGGAAGAGGGCAGATTTTTTTTGTGCAATTCTTTGAACTTGAGCATCGTAGGAATACAGGGTAAAAGTTAGAGGGCTAAGTTCATGAGTAGAAAAACCATTTCACTCAACAGGGGTTGTTGTTCCAGCAGTGGGAAAAGACTGTACTGTCCCAGGATTATGAATAAATTGCCTGGGCAGCCAAAAAGGACAGAAATAAGCTTAAATAGTACTGCCTTGTCTGGAATAGTTGAGCTGCTTGGCTGGTCTAAAGACTACATTACTCCGGAGTAAAATATCGGTGTAATAATAGCACATCAGAAAACTTGCCTGCACTATCAGAACTGTTACTGATTTTTAAAGCTTTTTATTCATATTCATTTATAGCTACTAATTATGCAGTGCTTATATTTAGCCCCCTATAAGCTCTGTGTGTGTGTTGTGGTCTGTCTTAGCTCTTGGCTAGCACCAAAGGCACTGAGTCATGTGCCACAGACTATTTTCTGATGGAAGAGAAAAGTTTTATATCTAAAGAAAAGAACGAATGCAGAAAACCGCCATTCCAGAGGGTGATTGGTCCTGAAGAAGGAATAGTGCAGCTTCTGAACAGCTGGTTCCCAGAAGAAGGATATGTTGGAAGGATTATCTTTAAAACCCGAGAGGAAGTAAGTCTGCTTTAGATAAATTGTTATTTACATAGATAGCTAAAAATAGCTGTCAGGACCAGGAAACAAAGCATGATATTTATATCAGTGTTCAGTGCATGATGTCTGTGCTGTGCACACCTTGCAAAAGCAGCCACCCCCGAGGACAGCTCGCTGCAGTGCCCCGCAGTAAGCGGCCCCGAGAACAGGATTTGATGGCACTCAGCTCCGTCATCAGCCATCACTGGATGCTCTCAGTGCCGTGTTGTAACTGGTAGTTCCAGTTTAATGGCAATCAAGATGTTGACATGATACGAAATAATATAGAGTAATTTATACTGGGGCGGGCAGGGAGGGGTCACAGGTAACAGAACACCAGGCCACAGTTCAGATGTCTGCAAGTTTGTGGGATTTTTATTGTTGTTGTTCTTCAGTAAAATTAGAAAGGACTTTATATATGAAGTACCCTAATAAACTCAATGCAATTATCCATAGCAACTTAGAACAGTGAAAGGGATGTTTCTTTTAATTTAAGGTAGGAAGATGGTGCGGTTATTTCATTTTTTTTACTATGGATGAAACATCCACAGCTTGAACAGCTATCAGTGATGACTCTTGTGAGAAAAAGTGGTCAAAAAAAGTAAAAGACACCTAATGACCTGATTTGCAGAGGCACTTTCTTTGACCAGTTCTGCCTAAGTATTGCCTGCTGAGTCTGAACACAGTAATGTATGTACACATTAGTTATAAATAGATTTCTTTTTACATATAGAACTGACAAACACAAAACACCTTTTGTTTACATGCATGTTCCTCTCACTTCATTCCTTTGGAATTAGAAAACCACCTTGCCCTCCAGCCATTCGTTACCTCTCTGAACGAAGCAAATCCGTCTCTCCTTTGCCTCTCTAGAATTTCAACGAGCGGAACTCCTTGCAGGACACGAAGGAGGAGGCGCCCGGCAGCGCCGAGGACGACAGCTTCTTCGTCCAGGTGCACGACGTGTCCCCGGAGCAGCCGCGCACGGTCATCAAGGCGCCGCGCTTCAGCACGGCTCAGGACGTCATTCAGCAGGTAGGGGCTCGCACCAGGTACGTGCTCTGCTCCCGGCACCAGCTGAGCTCAGCCAGTACCAAATTGGGACCAACATTGTCTTTTTTGTCCCTCTAAACAGACTCTCTGCAAAGCCAAGTACTCCTACAGCATTCTGAGCAATCCCAATCCGAGTGATTATGTCCTGCTGGAAGAGGTGACCAAGGAGCCAGCTAACAAGAAGTCCTCAACGCCTAAACCATCCCAGAGGATTCTCTCTGATCAAGAGTGTGTGTTTCAGGCCCAGAGCAAGTGGAAGGGAGCAGGAAAATTTATCCTTAAACTCAAAGAACAAGTTCAGGTAAGAGATTAAACAGCTGCTGCAGCTTTATATATCAATTGTGTGATCAGTTTTGCATATTGTTAACATAGAGGGAGGTGCTAAATGGTCAAATAAGATTTTACCGTGGCCAGAAGTTTCACTTGGTATGTGCTAGTAATGGAATCAGCTTTAAAACAAACAACAAAGCACTAAACTGTAGAATGAACAGGAAAGTCTGAAAACAAGTCACAAAGAACAGACTTAAGAGAGTCTGCATATAACAGCTCAAGCATATTGGCCTGAGTATGAAACAATGTGCTGTGCTTTCAGAGTCAAGTTGCCACCTCTTGTACTCGTAAGACTAGAACCATGGACTTGCTCAGTACCTCTGCTTGACATTTTTTGCAATATTTAATGAGGCTTAAGATCAGGAGGTAAATAAAATCTTACAGGAGATACCTCAGCATTTTACAGGACGAGAAGTTAGAAGAATGGGGGAAGAAGAGACCACAACAGAAAGCAGAGGCCGCTTTTCTCTGCACCTCCAGTTGCTGCTTCATTGAAGAACTTCACCAGTTACATCCTGCAATGTGATTGTCTTACAGCCTGCGACTGCCCTGCCCACCTTTATCTTTTGCTATCAGCTTTCTCATTTTCAAAAACTTCTGGCTGTGGTGCCCTGCCTTCTAAGAGAGGAGCATTCAAATGAGAAGAACTAATAAACTACTGGAATAAAGTCTCCTTTCTTCCTACCCAATGAAAAAAATGTTCTGTCTGTTTATGTCGGGCTCACAAAAATGGAATACTTCTCTGTTTGGGGAGTAACTGCACTGTCCTTTCCAGCAGATGCCATCAATCCAGAGCAGTTGTTGCTTTAAACTAGCAGAGTTGTGAGCTCAGATGTTAGAGAAGTTTATACAAAATTTGCTAAGCACAGTCTTAGTCTTTGACAACACATAATTTTCAAATAATTTGTTTATTGGAACAATGAGAAAAATGTGCTTGGCTATGAAAGAACTGCTGCACTGATTTGAAGCCAGGCTTGCTTAGAAATATCCTAGATGATTTCACACCAAATTGTTGTATTTTGAAGCTATAATGATATATTAAACTAGTTCTGCAATTGTTTTTTTCTTGTTTTCTACAGGCAGCACGAGATGACAAGAGAAAAGGCCTTTCTTTTGCCAGTGAACTCAAGAAGTTAACCAAGTCAAGCAAACAGTATCGGGGGTTCGTGTCGCCCGCCGTGCAGCTCTCGCCAGACAGTCCCCAGAGCAGGGACGAGAGGTCTGCGTGCAGCCTGACGTTCAGTGACATGATGGAGTAGCAGCCCCGCTGCCTGCACTGCCCTCGGACAGGTATGAGGCACCTGCTTCTGATTCCAGCTCCAAACAGTCACTTAATGCACAACGTATGGTGTGTTTCTTTCAAAGATAAACAACTGGGAGCTACTAGGGATGGGCAGAAAGATCCATGGAAACTTTAGTTAGTTAGTGGTGTGCACAGACAAGAACCTGCATGTAGTGGTGGTCAGTTCCTTACTATGACACCTAAAGCGAGTCGAAATGGTGTGAAAACTGGTATTTGACTCCCACTTTTCCCCCATTAAAAACAAAAAATGAAGCAGCACGTAGCAGCCTAGTTCATATTATGCATTATAGTAGGCAACAACCAACTGTATTTTTAATTAACCACAAAAATCAAAGTATCCAGTAGAGCTTTTGGTATTGTTACACTACATGCATATAAGAAGATCATTGGGATTGATGGTCTCTTTTCAAGCTGAAATAGGTTTATGCTTTTAATTTTTCCCTATGAGAGAAACTTTTAAAAACTTTATTAGTTTAGTTTTAGTTAAAGCTTTTAACAAGCTTTTACTATCCTTTCTGTATTCTGTATTTCTGTAGTTTCTTGTGATTTGCTTGACTTCAAATAACAAATGTGCCACATTAGACTGTGCCATTTATATAAAGATAGTGCAACCAGTTTCTTGCCCATCGATTTACACTACACAGAGATGTGCACAATGCTGCCTACTGTGGCATTGATATATCACCCGAGAGGCTGTAACTTACTAGAAATAAAGAAGAAATCCAGTTTAGTGATGATAATCCCATTCAACATAGAATGAATTTAAGTTTACATTTCCTCCCCACATAAATTATCAAAACATTATCTGGTCTGTATTATCATACTATTGCTCAATTATTATACTGTCCCAATTCAAACAGTATCATTTGCAAATATTTCAATTTTGAACAATTTGGTATCTTCCTTCTAGGTTCCAGGTTACTATAAAGACCCTAAATCATCAGGGGAAAAAAAAAAGAATTCAAGGAAAGCAAAGTAAATAATGGAAAGATCCTAAGAAACTCCCTCCTCTTCTGCATTTGTTCATTTTGTTGAGAACTGGAACCTACACCAGTGCAGCCTCTCCAGCGTCCGCAGGCCGTGGTGCTGAGCTGCTCCGAACTGGAGAAGCAGCCGGCGCCCTGGACGGGCCCTCACGCTAGGAAGGCCACGTGGGGCGGAGGAATGGGAACGGGGCTGTCACCACGCGGGAGATCCCCTTCTTCCCGTTTATTTTCACATCTGCAGATTCTCGGTAGGCAGATGAAGCAGCTTTCGTGGACTATATGTTATAAACAAACATGCCCTCATCCCAACTTTTTGTTTTAAGCAAAAGATCGTTTTAACTGTTTGTCTCAAGGGGAACCAGAGGCAGAGAACTAGAACCAGAGTATTATGTGTATTATATTAAAATAATGCACTTTTACCTAAAGATTCCTGTTCAACACTGTGTTAAGTGATTGTAAAGAGATTTAACTATATTGTAACTTCCTTAGCATATCGATTTAACTTTGGTGAATATACACAAAATGCTCAAATTATTTATGGTTTATCTACTTCAACTTTAACAAAATAATGTACAATAATAGCTAAATACATCTACCAGTAGTGATCCTTTGACAAGGAACAATATTTTCTTCTTACAAATCCTGTTTTTCCAGACTTACGTTTAAAGAAAGAATGAATATTTATTATCCTCTTCTAAAGTATGTGCCATTGTATAATATATTTATCATATACTACTTTTTAGAAACTACTACTTTTTTCACCTATCTCTGGATTTAGAGGAAAAAAGATTTTAACTTTTCAAGTTGTTTCTTTTCAGCTAAAAAGAAGTTAGTATCTGAAACTGAAACTTAAACAGTGTACTGAAAAATGCAATTCACATTGCAAAAGCTGAAATTCAAAAAACATTTTCATAAATCAGAAAATGTCTATAGTTATTCTTTACTCACCTCTCAAACCCAGAGCGTATAAAGAACTTTCACACTACAGCTCCTGACATTTCTGTTAACATAGAAACACTGTTGTAAAGTTTTATATGTGTTTGCTGAATTTGTCTTTTGAAGTTGCGGTCAGTTGTGGCTGTCTCTTGCTTCTCTCCTCGGGAGCTACTGCTGGGCCTAGTTACTCACAGCCCCCCGGGCTGGCTGTGGCGGGGCAGGGAGCCTTGCTGGCTCCTGCCGGGGCTCGCAGCCCCTGCTTCGCCTCCCCTCGGCACCCCCAGCAGGGCGATTCAGTGCCCTGGCAGCCCAGCAACACGGGCAGCGCCGGTGGCGCCGCACGGGCACCCGGACCCGGCACCAACCGCGGCCACTTTGAGGAGAGCAGCGCTGGCAGGCAAGGCGCAGAGCAGCAGTGGGACTAACGTGTGTGTCCCCTTGCTAGGCTGGGGAAAGGCCTTACAGGCACTAATCCTACAGGCAGCAAAGTAAAGAGATAAGTAATTAGCAATTTAAAAAAAAAAGAGGAAGAAAGCAGTTACGGATTAATAAGCTATCTGGCAGAACTTACACTGGGTCCCCAGAAGCTGTGCAGCCCCGAGTACAGGCTAGGGACATTCCTACAAAGTAATCGCTTCCAAAGCAGAAAGTGCCCCCTTGAGGTCATTTCCAGCCTTAAGGAAAAATAGCTACAGCCTCCAAGAAAATCCTAGCTCCTTGTGCACGTCCCACTGTTCATCTTCAGCACTGCTGTAGCAAAACAGCAATCTGCACTTCCAGCAGTTGTCATCCCCCTCCTAAATCCCCAGCCACCCCCAGCTCACAGTACTGTGCACATGCTGAGGAAAAGGCAGTGAGCAAGAAGTTGGACACTCCGATTTAGCCTTCTCTAGAGTCATTAGTTTAGATTTCTATTGCAAATGATTATGGGACACATAAGATTCTATATACAGCTGAATTTAAATGGATTTTGGTATATTATTTGCTTGGCTACTAGGTAAAATGCTTGAGTGGCACCACTGTGTACTCTTAAAACCCAGAAAAATAATAAAAAAACTAAAGGTTAAGAAGTTACTCTTACAACCTCAACTTGGAAAGTTATCCAATAGGTTCAAAATCTGTTACTACCAGTAACAGATATCCAGTAAATGTATGTATTTACTGGCCAGGTGAACAGAAACTGGTCAGAGAGTGGCCTTACTTGTCTTGACAAATGTTAATTGCAACATACGCAGACTCTATAAATGAGTATATGCCTTTCCCTCCCCTGGCACATGCAAAATGCAAGACTGATATGGAGCAAAACATTCTAAGTGCCTAATTCTGCACAGCTTTATATGCACTGTTTGCTTTGGGAGCCTAATACACAATTCAACTGATAGAGTTTTTGGGTTTTTTTTTTTTTTCCCCACATTATAAGGAATCCTTTAGCACCATTTACTTTCCTGAACAATTTCCATGTACCTATTTAGCAGCTTTAAAAATATACATAGCAATGAAAATAAAATTCCTAGCATTATCTTTACTATCCTAGAAGTCTGGGAGACAATTGCAATTGGATTATAGAGCCGACAGCACGAGGTTTCATACACACGTCATCATCCATTAGTAGTTTTCTGTCACAGCATGCTAAGAAAGAGACCTCCCTGGGAAAGCAAGGGACAGCCACAGCCAAGTCACACTGTGCACAGCAGCTCTAATGCTAGCCTCAATCTGGCAGCAATTTAAAATAACCCGAGTTTGTACTATTTCTGCTAACACAATAATTGTCTAGTTATGGGAACAGTTTATAGAGGTACATGTCTCCTCAGTCAAGGTCGAAGCAGCTTTTGTTGTTTATTACAGGGAAAGGAAGCTATTTAGCTTTATAAGCATTTAGAGGGTTGTAAGGCTAATTGTTCTCTTTGAGTATTTTCATTAATGTGCATACATCTGTTAATCAGTTTAAGAGTCTAGGTACTGGTAAACATCAGAGTATACATTTTGGTGGAATATAGTTCATCTTTGATAAAGTTAGAAAGAATTAGCGTATACTTGCATTTGCATTGGTTCCAAATAGCCTAAAAATGAAAATATAACACTGCTTGAAGCATGAAACAGAGAAGTTTTATGAAAGTTAAACAGATGTCATGCGCTGCATTATTATTCTAATAGGAAAGTTTTTCCTGGCTGTCCTGCTCTGTCCTACCACTGACAAAGTAACTTTCGTCCCTTTCGGTGTTTTTGGCTGGGCACGGACACTAGTTATGGGGGAAAAAAAAAATGTTTTTCACATTACAAACTACTTAAAAAGGAAGCAGCTTCCAGAGGAAAGTGTGAAAGAAAGGAATGTTAAGTATCAACACCTTTCAGAAATGTGCAGTCTCAGAGGGGGAGCAGGCCTCCCTCTGAACAGCTTACACGTGGAAAGCTCCCACCCCATTGCCTGTGGGCCATAGAGAAATATTCTATATTTTCAACTCCCTGCTAACGTTCTCCCAGTGTCCTGCACAGCATGTGCTGCTTGCAGTGCTGTGGCCGCACAGGACAACTGAGGTAGCTGCAGCCCCACCAGCGCTATCCTGACTGCAGGACTGGGAGGAGGTGAGCAGCAATCAGCAGAACCCAGTATCTGCCTGATTTTTTAACTGTTAAATTTGGGTTCAGGACAGTACAAAAATACTGTCTCCTTTTTAATTTTTAAAATATGGGTTTTAATCTTTATTACTAGGAGTATTACTAGTGGAAGTATCTCAATAGCCATCTTTTGAAAGCAGTTTGCCTCTAGAGATCACATTTTAAAGACTTTAGCATGGATGTATCTAAATATCTTAAAACCATCTCCTCTGATATTCAGTTTTCCTTTTAAAAAGCAGAACTTGCAGGCAGATTTACATTTCAGGCCAGGTTGAGTCTGCAGCTTCGGAGGCTGAACGCCTCATTCTGCTCCAGTGCTCAGCAGTCTACACTGTTCCTTCACCACCTGCTCTTACTAGTCCACTATAAAATTCAGTTTACTGCTAGGGTAGCCCACTAAATGTACCAGTGGTGGAGGTTTTCCTGACTGTGGTAACTATTTTGTAACTGCAATAGTGCTAGATGTTCAGCAGAATTAGTAAAATAAACAAGTGCAAGTAAATAGATTGCTCTCCTGTACTCCTAGAGGATACTTCAAAATAACTTATTAGTTGTACAGTCATCTTCCTCTGCCTCTTAAAGCATGTCTGAATATTCTGACAATGCAACACCACTGTGTGCCAGTCTTCACATTACTTTGAAATTATGTAAAATGTACTATTTTAAAAGTGATTTTCCACCTGGAATATTTTCTCTCTGCTGACTTGAAGAATCAACTTTTATTTGTATATGTTGTAAAAAAAAAAAAAATAAACAGTTTAAGATGTGGTCTCTGCTTCTACTGTCCCGAACTAAATGACCACGGTGGAGTTTTTCGGGTTTAAGTCATATCCATCTTTTGAAGTTGAGCACAGATTCTGAGACAACCACACTGACAAACATTTGGGAAATGAGGATTAAAAATTCTATTGCCAAGATAAAAATGTTTGAAATTCTTACCTTGAACTAGTCCAGCATTCTTGACAAGGATGGCTTATTGACAGTCTTGTTGTAGAAATTCAATTATGGAGTTACTTGGGAACTGGAATTCAATAATCTCAGTTTGCTAATACATACAAAAGATATGTCACTGGGAAAAGAGTGTATTTAAAACAATTTCCAAAACAAAAGCAATAGTTAGGAGACATAACAAAAACATGATGCATACTCCGAATCTCAAGGTATTTTAACATCAAAGAATGGAATAAAAATTTCAAAAGAAAACACAATGCAGTGATTTTTCCTCAGAAACACACTATGTGTATACTCTATTAGAAAAATAAAGTTTGTTAAGCAGAATTATTATACTATAATACATGGTTGCAAACCATTTTTACATGACTTGTTTTCATATCTTTTAAATTATTGACATGACTGTTCATTGTGATTTCCAGATCTGGAGAACTCAGGCCAAGGAGTGAAATGCAGAGGCTTAACTGTATAGAAAAAAAAAAAACCTGCATTTTTTTTTAATGCTTTTTATTATTTTTTTATGCCATTGTGTTTTTTTTATGCCAAAGCAAAATCTTACTTGAATTTTTTGAGCTACTCTTTCTCCAGAATTAAGTCAACTGAGTATGGTGATAAAAATATTTACAAGAGGGATGATTCCTTTAAGTGTTTAGCAAAGTCCAAGGGTTTGTGCATAGCAGTCTCACTGTTGTGTTTTTGAAGCAATTCATTTAGCTCTTCATTTAGAAATGAATCCCTTTGTGAGAATGTGTCCTGAAAATCAGAGAAGCGGAGCTGTATTAGCAATGAAGGCATGGATGTATTTTCAGTGACCATCTCCAATTAGTAGTTTTTTTCTCACACACCCTTAATCATCCCATTGACCATTCCCTATGGAACCAGCCGTGCACTGACCAGGCCTGACCCAAAGTTTCCATTGGACGGCACCCCAGTAACATGCCCAACATAAGAACCTCATTTTTTTGGTGAGGATTTTGTGTTTCATTTTAAGCAGTCTCTGAAAGAGACCTAGCCCACCCAGCCACAGCCCCTGGCTCTGGAGGAGCTCATGCTCCTTACAAAAACTAACCAAGGAGCTCTGAGCAGAAGGCTAGTGAAAACATTCATGCTAAAAGTAGAAGGTCTAGAAACTGAGTAAAAAAGGACCTGTCCCTGCCTTGAGGGGCCTGTCAGGAAGCCCTCCTCTCTTACCTGGTGCTCGGACAAGGAAGATCACGGACATGATTTATACCTCTCTGTTAAGTGTCTTAGCATGGGCCAGTGGTTCATGCAAGCCCACTGCGAAAGAATAAGATTCGCTCGCCTTGAATGGTACACGGGGAAAGCAAATTTTAGTTCAGAGTTTCTGTCAATGTGGAACAGATGCAGATACTGCCAAAGTTTGTTAAAAGAAACAGCAAGCAAGTCTCCGTGGCAAATTTCCCAGGTAGGTCCATTACGAACACCCAGAGTTGCGAGTTTTTCTCCTACCCAGCCTTCTCTTTCTTTGCTTCTACTGCCTTAAAGAGCTTTTGCATTCCCTGTTCCAGCAACACACAGTCGCTCTCCCAT